GGCTTCACTGAGTTATGCAAGCCCCTTCGCCACGACAAGGCAGTGATCCATGAAGGGGGTTTGCCATGTTAAGGGTGTACAAATTAACTGACAGAAAAAACAGTATGAAAAGATTTCTGAATCCTTGGTAATGTTGCTCAACTCATCTTAAGAAACTTGACTTATCTGATTACATATTCAATAGGACTCAAGATTTCCTGATTTCCATCCCATTTAAAAATATTCCGATTTCAGAATCCCCCATAATCTTTTTTATAATTAATTCTCTGTTCTAAATTGGTCTCTTGTTCCCTCTAATGGAGATTGTCTTCACATGAGATTACAAACTCTCAAGCATTACATTATGTGAAACTTGCACAGTAACAGAATTTTTAAATTTATTCTAATAAAAGCTTGAAATACATGTTATTTTCAGAGAAGTATATGGCTGAAGAGGCCATAAGATATGTTAAATATCTTAGATCTAAATATCAAATAAAAAAGCAATGTTACAAAAATAATAATGCTCATTATTAACGGTTGGTATAGTACACTGCATTATACAATACACCAATACTATATCTGGTGATTCTCATATATATGAAGTAATTTCAGCATGAATATATAAAAGGAAAAAGTCACTTAACATTATTCTATTAATATCCCCTCTTTTCATATGACAAAACATATATGCACAGCTTTCCATGTCATGAAATACCATCCCAACATTTTATTTTTTAATTCTATTGGGCATTTACTTTGTCAAATAAAATACTTCTAATAAATAATTTACATAAGGGTTTTGGAACTCCCAGAATTTTATGCTTTTCAGCAAATGTTGATTTGTTAGGCATGTAAAGCTCCAGAAAATCAATAAAATCAATTGAAAACGTTGATATTTTATTTAATCTTTAAATAAGAGAAATAACAGAAATACATGGAGAACACAAGATTTCAGTATTAATATCTTGTCATTAAAACTGTTTTAAGGTTTATTTAAAATGTTTATTTTCTACAGCTTTGTTGTGCTACTTAATCTACTATTACATTTCATAGTAATATATACATTATTTAAATATCAGCTGTTTTTGAATCATTATTTAGTCAATTCAAAATATTTTAATACTACTTAAGTCTTCTTTCTTCTAAGACTTCAAATATATCATTCAGTGTATACTCAAGACATCTCAGAAGTTCATCTAAGTCCCGCTCCAAATAGCTAGTTATGAGACATCCTATCCAGGTATCAAACATGTTATATCCAATCCCAAAGCCATCTGGCACTACTGGTCCAAATCCACCATGATTAACTGCTGGAGTGCTTAGCGTACTAGTTGAAATGATAATATGGTTTATGTTTTTATAGGCTGGATCATTATAAATATCAGGAATATTTCCACCTCTGCGCTGGACAAGGTACTTCAAGGCAAATAGGTGGCGATCAAATCCTTGACCTGGATAAAAAAAGAGGCAGATTCATTGAACATAAAGAGTGAGTAGGATATTTATACTATGAACTCATTATAGCTGTTGTACAGAATAAGATGAAATCAAGCGCCCTCTAACCAAATACATTCACTCTGAAGATTCATCAGTACTAACAAGCTCTGGACACAATCAACATTCTTGCATTGAAATAATTTGGAATTCAGAGTGTTTCATGTTTGGTGGATTATGGGATCTGATTAGATTTGCTACTTTATATAATTTCTGATGTTCCAGTATCTATGCAAGAAAAAAGCCTCCTATTTTATCATGTTAAAGTGTAAGTATTATGACCCTCCAAAAAGAGATTGAAGAGGTTCATAGTGCACTAAGACATGAATTAATTTGTCTGGGTTTGGTTTAACTTGTTGCGTGAATCTAGCCATTGTACTTCGTGTAACTTGGGGTATAATTAATTGTGGTATATGAATCCAAATATTAGTGGCTTATATAATAAACTCCAGTTAAGCAAGCCATGAAATTAACCATGAGTTAAGCAAATCATGAAACCATGAATGATGGGGTGGCACTGCCCCAGACAGACCCAGTGAGTAATCTGGGGGTCCTCCTAGACTCACGGCTCCTGCTTGAAGAGCAGGTGGCAGCAATGGCAAGGAGGACCTTTGCACAACTTCGGGTTGTGCATCAGTTACGCCCTTTCCTGGATCGGGATGCCCTTCA